CGTCAGAAACATGCTGTTAGACTAATCTACCATAAAGACAAATTTACACTCACTGAACCCTTATTTAAAGAAATGAATGTGCTTAATATTTATTAAATTAATATTTACCAAAATATATTGTTTATGCTAAAATTTAAATTAGGTCAAGTACCAAACCATTTTTTAAATAACTTTTTTATAAATAACGTTAATAAATATAACACAAGAGAAAAAGGAAACTTTATTACACCTTTCAAAAAAACAAAACTTTCCCAGTTCTCAATTTCATATCGGGGTCCTTATTTATACAACAAACTAGTAACTAAAAATAAATCAATTTGCAATCTAGATTTAATTTGCAATCAAAATTTCTTGAAAAAAAAGTTAAAAAATCTGATACTGAATCTAAACAGATACTCAGAATTCTTCTAAGACTATAAATTAAAATACATATATATCAACTACAAAGTGAACTGACTCGTTTATGTGTATTATCTAAATGACTCTTACCTTTCTCAAACAATATATCAAAAATTGTTTATTACACACAAAAAAAACACTTGATTTTTTCTTATCAAGTTTAGTTATTATGCTGCTAGTTATGTCTAATATTTTATACTGAGCTTATTTTGAGTTTATTTTTTATTATGAGCTAAATTTAAAGAATATATAAACATAGTTGTACTTAATATATAATTATATTTAACATAATCATAATAATATATCAAACACATTGTAAGGGCTTCGTGATAAGATCATTACGATCTTCTTGAAGTCCGGCCTGTACTATTTAATTATAATTATAAATTATAAAAAGATTACGCAAACGAAACCTTAGAAAAATGAAAAAATCTTTGGGAAGAAATAAAAAGACACCTTACGAAGAGTTTCGGAAATAAGTTATATGCTTAACCTCAATTTTATAAAAATAAACTCTTAATCAAGCGTAATCGTTTACAAAACAATTGACTTTAAAACAAAACAATCAAATTTTTTGTAATCTGATAACAACATTTTACTTAACGACTTTTATGACCCAGATAAACAACTTTTTAAAGGATTAGATTTTAACTTGCAATACTTTGATATTGAAACTTTTAAAACGCAATTAAAAACAGATCATAGCGAACACATCAATATCAGAAGTTTAAATTTAAATATAGACAAACTAAAACACTTTCTTTTATAATGCAGTTTTTTATTTAACATGATTTGTCTCACAAAATAATGACGCGTGTGACGCGTCACACCATTATTTTGTGAGACAAATCATGTTAAATAAAAAACTAAAATTCCACCTCCTCTTTTGAGCGTTTTTCTCTCAGAGTTTTTCTCTCATCGTCGACGATGACTCAGCCCAATAAAATTCAAATTTTCAGGTTCCTAATTATAAAATTATCTCATCTGAGAGAAAAACGCTCAAAAGAGGAGGTGGAATTTTAGTTTATATTCGTAATGACCACGATATCAAAATTAGAAAAGACCTCTCGATCTCTAATTCAGACAGTGAGGTCCTAACAATTGAGATAGTAATTAAAAATACAAAAAGCATTGTAGTTTCTACTTGTAATAGACTTGTTATATATGTTATTCAATTTTCAAAACATCTGCAGCAAATTTTTATCAAAAACAATAATGAACAAAAAAGATTATTCTGCATCGGTGACATAGATACATTTAAAATACAATGAACACTCTAATAGTAAAATCTTTTTTGAAAATATATTTCAACACGGCATTTTCCCACACATTAACAAACCAACTCGTGTTACAACAATTTCCATTAGTGCTATAGATAGCATTCTAATTAACTCTTTTCTAGATAAGTTAGATAAATTTCGGATCACTTTCCAATTTTCTTTTCTTTTGCTGAACATGCAACCATAAAAGACAATTCTAAAATCGAAGTCTTGAAACGAAAAATGGATGAACATTCTATGCTTAAATTTAAAGAATCTTTATCAACAGTAAATTGGATAAATGTATACCAAGAATGTAACCTTGGACACACAAACTCCGCTTATAATCTATTTCTCGACATCTTTCTTGAATATTATAACAAACATTTCCCAATACGAGAAATAGAAGTTAAAACAAAATATTTAAAATGCCCATGGATTACATGCAGAATAAGAAAATCTTCAAAAAAAAAATCAAAAGTTATACATCAAATATTTAAAAAACAGAAACGAAGCTAATCTTACCTTACGGGTATTTGTTTTTAAAAGTTACGTTCTAAATGTCTTCTAAACGTTTTTTAAACGTCTTTTAAACGTTCTTTACGTAAGAATGTTTAGAAGACATTTAAAAGACATTTAAAATACATTTAGAACGTAACTTTTAAAAAACAAATGTCTATAAAGAATATAAAAATCTGTTTGAAAAAAAAAAATAAATAAATCTAAAAAAAGATATTATTCTGAACAATTAAAAAATAATAATGGCAACATAAAGAAAACGTGGGAAGTTATGAAAGAAATCCTTGGTAAAAATAAAATAGTTTCTGACATTTTACCCTCCAGAATAACTGAAAACAATATTGAGTACAAAAACAAAAAAAAAATATCAGAAATATTCAATCATTTTGTTATAAACACTGGTCTAAACCTGGCATCAAAAATAAAAGGCTCAGAAAAATCGCTTCAAAATTATTTTAGTGACTTTTAGAGTTCATTGGCTGTTGGTGATCTAACTTTTGAAGAACTAGAAACAGCAATCGTATCAATCAAAAAGAATAAGGCCCCAGGTATTGATGACATTTCTGGCAATGTTGTACTTTATGTTATTTCTGCAATAAAAAAGTCTATTTTTAATATCTTCAGCTTTTTAATCAAAATCGGGATTGTCCCAGAAAAATTAAAAATAGAAAAAATTGTACCTATATTTTAGGTGGAGATACATCTGCAATAAGCAATTATAGACCAATTTCAATTCTCCCTGTATTTTCTAAACTCCTTGAAAGAATAATTTACAACAGACTGTATAAATATTTAATAGAACACAAAATCTTAAGTGAAAATCAGTACGGATTTCAAACGCAACATTTAACGGAACATGCTATCCAAAATCTCATCAATAACATTACGACTTCCTTTAATGATGAAAAATTTATATTAGGAGTCTTTATTGATCTTACAAAGGCGTTTGACACAGTAGACCAAATGGAAAAATATGGCATAAAAAATCAATCTATAAAATGGTTTGCTATCTACCTAGACAATAGACAACAATGTTTTACTATAGATCACTATAACAACTCGAATCAACTAAAAATTAAATGTGGGGTCCCTCAAGGATCTATTCTAGCTCCTCTTCTATTTTTAATTTATGTCAATGACCTCCCTAAAGTCTCATCTAAGTTAGGTTGCATAATTTTTGCAGTCGACACTAACCTGTTTTATTCTTCTAGCTCAATCAGAGACCTCTTTATAACCGCAAACCTAGAACTTATTAAATTTAACACATGGTTCAGAGCTAACAAATTGTCATTAAACTTATACAAAACTAAGTATATCTTATTTCACCCCAACCAAAAAAAAAAGCTACCCCATCAATTTTACCAACTCTTAGTATAGACAACACAATTATTAAACAAACTCTATCATCTAAATTTCTTGGTGTGCTTTTTGAAGAGAATTTATCATGAAACTCTCACATAAATACCATTAATACAAAAATCTCAAAAAACATTGGTCTACTCTATAAAGCAAGAAACTATTTATTGTTCAAAAATTTAAAACTTCTTTATTTTTCTTTTAAACACAGCTATCTATCATTCGCCAATATAGTATGGGTAAGTACCCATAAAACTAAATAAAGTTCACTCTATATAGAGTATAAGCGATTTTCTGTCGTCTATATATAGACAACAGAAAATCGCTTCAAGAATTATATTTTATAAAAACAAACTGACTCAGGCGAACCCATTACTAAAACCGATGAATGCGTTAAACTTTACCAAATCAATATATATCAAAATATTTTGTTTATGTTGAAACATAAAATGGGAACTGTTCTAAGTCGATTTATAAAAACTTTTTTAAAACTAATATAAATAAATTTAGCACTAGAGCAACTGGAATCTACACAGCAAAAAATATAACGCTAACATAACGGTTACATAACGGTAAATGAAAAATTTGGCGTTATGTTTACCGTTATGTTAGTAATAAATATGTCTAAAGCGTTATGTTGGCCACAGTTATTTGTGTATTTTTATATAAATGTAAGGCGTTATGTTTACCGTTATGTTTAGTAAACATAACGGTAAACATAACGGTAAATTGGAAATATGTAACCTATGGAGAAAAAAAAGCGCGAAAAAAAAAAAGCGCAAAATGAAAGAATCTTTTATGACTGTTTATTCGTTGCACAAGACTTTTTAAAAAAAAATAAAATATGGTTGACTATTTGTAGCAAAATAAAACGATTTATAAATCGTTGATATATATATCATAATGCATAAGCTATATATAACAACGGTAAAATATAATGCATATTATAAATATATCAATTTTACTGGAAAACATAATGTTTTCCAGTAAAATTATAACATTATTTTATATATATATATATATATATATATATATATATATATATATATATATATATATATATATATATATATATATATATATATATATATATATATATATATATATATATATAAATAAATCCCTAAGTAAAATCATATAATATATGATTTAAATATTATATTAGTTAACGTGCCTTATTATTATTTTATTTTTAATTTTATTATTTAACGTGCCTTATTATTTATACAAAATAATATTTATACAAAACATGGTTTAATGCCATTACTTTCATAATTGATATAGTAAAGAAAAGAAAAATCAAAGAAGAAGTTAAAATGGTCAAAGCTGTTCTTGTTAAGCACCTTGGAGAGCGAAAAATTGTTATTGCTAATAATAGCAGTATTATTGATTTTTTGAACAATAGTATGCATATTTATTTTTAAAAATTTCAGAAATTTACATTTAATATTGTTTACTGATTGTTGTTAAGAATTATTGCCAAAGTTTAAATGATTTTTCTCCTGTTAAAAACCCTGTATACACCGACCTTGAAAATTTTTATGCTTCTTCACCACAGCAGTGTTTATCTTTACCCGTGACAAATCTAGAGAGCACAGCAGATGTAACTGAACCAGTTTTTATTCAAGAAGCTTTACCTCAAAAATGTGCATTTTCGCAGTCTTCATTGGCAGGCATTTCCAGTCAACCATCCTATACTGCTCAAGTGGCTTTCACATCTAATCCACTAACAAATGCAATCCAAAAAGTAAGGTTAAATTGTTGTATTTGTGATTTTAAAACATATAGACCTTATATAATGATATCTCATCTTAAATTACATGGTCAGGCAGGTTCAGTAGTATGCGATAATTGTTTTTCTAAATTTAAAAGTGTTAGAGGTTTTCAACTTCATTATAAAAACTGTCTCATTCCAATTACTAAGATTGAAGATGTTGAAGAAATTGATGACACTGTTGAAGAAATTGATGACACTGTTGAAGAAATTGATGACATTGAGATTCCTTCAGAGAATAGAAAGCTTGGTGCATTAGCTTTACACCTGAGAGGAAAATATAGATGTTCTGAAAATGTAGTCAATATTGTTTTTTCAAATTTAAAAGATATTTTAACTGATAACACACCAAAAGAGGAGCTATCTACAATTTGCCAGCAATTATCAGCAGAATATTCAAGAAAGCAGTACTTTAAAAATGCTTTTAATGTGCCAAAAGTTGAATCTATATCTAAAAATGGCTTACAGGGATGCTATATTTCATTTAAAGAAATACTTAAGTTTATTTTGATATCCCCTGAATATGATAAGTGTTTAGAGAATTCTTCTGAAATATTGATTTCATTGTTTTCAGATGATTTAGGTATTACCAATCCAATAGGTAAATCGAAAGGAAAGTACAAGTTGTGGGTTTTGTATTTTCAGTTGTTAAATGTAGCTGATTATAGCCTCAGTAAAACTTTTTCAATATTTCCCTTATCAATAACTGTTTCTAAATCAGTTAAAAAGAAAAGCTTCATGAAATCACTTCTGCTTGATTTAGTTCAATCGCTAAATGAGCTATCTTTATTTGATTCTTCAACTTTAACCAATACTAAGGGTAAGCGATTCATTAGCATGTAATGCAATTGCTGGTTTTAAGGAAGGCTTTAACAGGAAGGTTCTTAGGTGTTGTCGAGTTTGTAATTCTACTCGTTCAGATATGCTTATTCATAATAGACATTCTCAGTGTATTGTTCGTGATATAGAAGAACATAAGATAAGAGTCAAAGAACTTAATAATCCACTTCTACCTCCCAAACAACGTCAAAAATGGTCAAAATTATATGGTGTTCATTCTGCAAGCATTTTATCAGAGATTAAAAATTTTGATGTCACAAAACAAGTGCTTTTTGATCCCATGCACGATTTGTTAGAAGGTGTAATTCCTTTACAGATAGAACTTTACTTGAATAATGCTGTTTTTCAAGGTTTATTTACACTAGATAGCCTAAATGACTTTGTAAAGTGCTTTCAGTATCCACAGGACAGTGAAAAACCACCTATAATAGTCGATTTAGTTATTAAGGCAAAATTTGGAAGTGCTCAGGTGTTATCTCTTTGTCGTGTTTTGCCAATTTTTTTGAGAACCACTGAGATTGATCTTCATTTTTTATGCCTAATTAAACTTCTTCATATACTTCAACTATGTCTTTCTCCTATTACCACTGACGCTTATTTATTTTGCTTAGAGGAAAAAATAGCTGCCTATCATACACTTTTTATGGAATTATATCCAGAAAAATTTATACCTAAGCTTCATTTTCTCATACATTATCCACATCAATCCAGACAATTTGGTCCTCTACGATACCACATGTGCATGGGATTTGAGAGAAAACACCAAGTAATTAAAAATATCAGACATTTTAATTTTAAAAATATGCCATATACTGCCCTAAAGGGGATGATTTTAAACACTGTTTCATCTTTTTACAGCTCTTCTGGTGAGTTGAATAATGGAGTTCTCTGTGAATTAGATCAAGTAACTTTTAAGAAAAATGTAATATCTTGTATTCAGGTTAATGGTATTCAATATTGTCTTGGGTCATGTTTATGGTTTCATAGTGGTTCACAATTTTTTATTTATATAATTCAGGAGATACAAGTCAGAGGTGACAGAAAGTTATTTATTACAACACAGCTCCAGTCTGTTGCATATGATGAGATAAGAGGGTTTTTTAGTGGCATTGAAGATATTTCTATTCCTTCAACACCTATTTCACCTGAAAGCATTCCTTTTCCTTGGCCTGCATTTTACTTTAAAGAGGCTGGTACCTTCTATATTGTACCCCCAGCACTGCCATGATATTACTTGTAGTTAAATAGCTACAGTCATTCATAGAGTACATATGCACCAATTTACAGAGTGAGAAACTACAACCAAAAGTTTACTGAAAAAATAATATTGCCACAAATTATTTTTGACATTTTTTTAAATGTTATTTTGCGTCATATTATATCTATATATATGTATATATATATATATATATATATATATATATATATATATATAAATATATATATATATATATATATATATATATATATATATATATATATATGTATATATGTATATATATATATATATATATATATATATATATATATATATATATATATATATATATATATATATATATATGTATATATATATATATATATATATATATATATTTATGTGTATATATATGTGTATATATATATATATATATATATATATATATATATATATATATATATATATATATATATATATATATATATATATATAATATATAATATATATATGTTTGTATAGCTTTTATTCGATATTGGGAATATATATTGTCATACAACTACTACTTTTTTTTTAAAGTTAATTGAGTTTTAGGAATTTAAATCTTTAGAATTTTAAATTTTTCAATTGGGAATTCCGATATATAGGCGGTGCCATTGTCAGGCTTACATCCTGATATTGATAAAAAACATTTTTTGACTTTAGAAGTGTTATACTATAAAACGTATCTTTAAAATAAAACATTGAGAACAAGTTATAAACTATAATATAGTTTATAACTTTTTCTAAATATTTTATTTTAAAGATAAATTTGCATTTTTTTATTTGAAACTTTTATGGTGTCTAATTTAATAATGAGTTTCTCCTAACATTATGTTATTACTATCTACTTGCATATTGATTTAGATTGATAGAACTTCTTTTGTTGGTGATGTTAGACAACAACTCATTAATTACTTTCCTCCACACATTAAACATTTTGTTAGCAGCAATTCTGTAGTAGAAGATAAGATTGTGGCCAGAGAATTAATGGCTTGTCTCTTATCATTCTGCTTCTCCCATATCCCAACTCATGCTATCATTGCAAATAGAGTTCTTCTGCATAAAACATTCTTTTCAAAGTTAAAGTCGACTTGTCTCAGCTTATATCCTTGTTATGGTCAACGATGGGTTAGTGAAACATTATGTTTAATATTGTATCTGTTAGGCTAATTTGTTCATACTAAAAGTGATAGTATTAATTTTGCATTTAAAGATTTTATTCTTTTTAAGTTCATGTACTTTTTGGTTTAAATAGTTAATGTATTATGTATTATTATTAAGTAAATTTTAAAAGTTAATGTTTTTTAAAAGTTTATTTTAACAATTTATGCATTTGTTTAGCAAACAGCCTCATGAATTTGCTATTTTGTTACTTTTATTTTATAAACTATAAGATTATATTTTGATTATGTTAGGATCTCATTTTTAAAAAGTTGCTAAACAATTATCGACAACGACAGTATACCAAGTGTCACAGCTTAAAGGTGAAAAGGCTTCCACAGGTTTCTGTTTCAAATAACAATAGGAAACTTAAACCTGTTGTGACTGAATTGGTAGCTAATCAAGAGCAGTTATTAAAAGATGTTGAAGTAAGAAAAATGTTATTTATGGATTTAAGAAATATTTATATTACTTGTATATTGTAAAATGTTTTCTCTTAATTTATTCCAATTTTTATTAGAGTAACTTTTATAGCTCTTGTATATGTTTAAAATCTACAATTACTTTTCATTTTAGAATGAATTAAAAAAAAAAAAGCCGTCACTGCCAACCTTGTCCATTTTAAATAGACAACTATTTGATAATGAGACATTTAGCATGATACCGAAGAGAATTAGTTTTGCTCCTACACTAATGCTGGAGGAAGCAATTCGTTTTTATGCCAATTTCAAAGATGCTATAATCAAGATTCAAGCAATTTTGTATTAGGAAGTTTGTTTACAATTTTGTGGCTTTTATCGTGTTTAATTTTACAACTATATACTATATTTTATGCCATTTTTGACAAATATATTTTAACTGATGGTGACTATATATGGTCGAAACATGTCTTGAATAATAAAATGTCTTTAAATAAAATTAAAAACTTTTGTCTTATTTTTAAAAGTAATATATATATATATATATATATATATATATATATATATATATATATATATATATATATATATATATATATATATATATATATATATTGTTGAGATAAAAAAGAAAAAAAAGACGAGGGGGGGGGAGGTTGTTAGGAGGGCACATCTCTTTATAGATTTTTTATTTTAGTTTAATAATTAAACTTTAATTAACATGGAAAACTACGTAAACATGTATTTTTGAGAAGATAATGTATGAGAATATTTTTAATTTTGTTTTTCAAAGGTGTAGCAGCAAATTTAAACAACATTGCAAGATGAAATAATTTTTTTGGGGTTAAAAATAAAGGAAGGGGTCAGGATTTTATAACGTCTTTTTCAAAGGGGGTACAGAGAAAAAGGACAAGCGGTGAAAAATGGGGGAAGGGGTCAAAGGTTGGCTAAAAAATGGTGAAGTCCCTTATTGATGGCCCCTAACCACATGATTTTTATTACTAAAAGTTTCATGCGTTTTGCAATTTTTTTAAAAAATACATTGTTTTTTTCGTTAAAAAAATATACACTTAATAAACATCGTGAAACATCTTGAAAAACTTTGAAAGATGGTTGAGTTTTTCAGCTTTTTATTTGTAAATGAGTGTTTGTGGATATCTTTTTTTCCATTCACCTTCTGCTAGGCAAATATACTTTTTCTGGAGTGTTGGGGGGGGGGGGGTGAATGAAAAAGCAGAAGGTGAATGAAAAAAGATGGGCTAACCACAAACACTCATTCACAAACAAAAAGCTGAAAAACTTAACCACCTTTTCAAAGTTTATATGGCAGATAAAAGAAAACTTAAAAACACCCAAATTAACCTGGTCAATAATTGAACAAATCCCCGCCTAGAGCAACGTAACGAATAAATGCTTGCTTTGCCTTCACGAAAAACTCTGCATAAAGGTACACAAGAATTATTAAATAAAAAAGCAATAAACAATATCTGCCGTCACTAAAACAAGTTCTTGCTTGACAACCACGTGCCAAAAGATTAAAAAATGTATTTTTTACAAAACAAAAAAATGTATTTTTTACCTGATGATTGCAAAACGCGTGAAACTTTTAGTTGCAAAGATCATTTAGTTATTTTTATTTAATCTCGTCAAAAAATCAGTTATATAGCTCTGATATCATTCATCGAGCACTCTTGCTGAATATATGCAGATGGAAAAAATTACATGAAGGAAGTTAAAAGAAGTAGTTTTGACAAAAGTGAAATTGACAATATATGTACTTTTAAAACCTTTTAAAATTCTTTTTATCTGTTATTTATATCGGTTTATATGATTTGTAATATATGGTTTTAATTGTATAATTTGCATTTCAATTATTTACGATCAGCAAGCCTGTATTGCTATTATATTGTCTGTCAATTATATCTATTAGAAATTTTTTGTAAACTTTTTAAATTTTTTTTTATTTTTATTTAAATCTCTTTTTTCTTGATATAATTTTCAATTCAATTATTTACAATCAGCAAGCTTATTCTGCTGTTATGTTATCCACGTTCTTTACATATATATATATATATATATATATATATATATATATATATATATATATATATATATATATATATATATATATATATATATATATATATATTTATATATATATATATATATATATATATATATATATATATATATATATATATATAATAATAATAATAATAATAACAAAAGAGTTTGATTATTTGAAAAAATACAACTTTGTGATGGGACTTGAAGTTTCATGCCCTTCGGCAATCATCAGCCATATTTTATTCTTTTAAATCAAGAAAAAAAACGTTAAAAAAACAAAATACAAAAATTAACAGAAAAAACAATAACAAAGCAGTAGAATGAGTTCTGACGTCAAAACAAATTTTTATTCGGCCGTGTCGAAATGGGCGAGAAGAAACTTGATTCGATGCCTGCACTTGGATATCATTTCACTTTTTTTGTTAAGTAGATTTTTATTTTTGGAAAACAGAATTTGATATTTTTCATTTATACACAGTTTGTATTTTAAAATGTTAAATGATTTTATATGGTTGGCATATCTAATTTTGAATGGTGTTTCGTTTATACCGATGTATAGTTTGTTGACAGGAGTGGAAGTAGGATTAGTTGAACTTATTTTAGCTTGGTATACGATGTTTTTTGTTAAGCATTGGTTTGATAGAGGGCAGGTGCTTTTATTAAGGCAGTTGCAATTGGTTTTAGGTGGATCTTTTTTGTTGTTCATAATTTGTCGATTGTGTGCATTTAGGATAGATTTCATGTTCGGCATACAGCTATAGCTTACTTTTATGGTGTTTCTGTTGAAGATTTTGTGGAACTTGTGATTTATTGGGAAGTGTTTGTTGACTAAGGTTAAGAAGCTTTTTCCTATGTTAGTGCTTACATTTTTGCTGAAAAATGGGTTAAACCAAATGATGTTGCGTTTACGGTTTTTTGTATAAGGTGAATTTAAATTAGGATGGTATGAAAGTTTATGATTAAAACCAGACCTTAACAGTGCGCCATTGTATGCAGGAGTAGATCTTTGGAAAATTTCTTCACTTGAGGAATTTGCAGACAATCTTAACTCAATTGAATGCGGAAGCTGTTTTAAAATATTTGGCGGGTGGTTTGTATCAGTATGAATATAATTTAAGGAATTTCCGGGCTTAGAATATGGTTGGAAAGTATGGTCATTTAGATTTAATGTGACGTCAAGGTAATTTACAACTTTCATGTTGCATTGTATTGATATATTGAGTTCGTTTTTTTTAAATATTTCAACAAAATGTTTTTTAATTTTTTCCATTTGGGGGCCACTCATATTTTTAAAAACTGCTAAGCCGTCATCGCGGTATAGTCCGAAATCATTTTTATTATAAAACTGTGCAACTTGAGACAATAGATAAATTCCCACTAGTTCACAAACTTCAGCACCGTCAAATGCTCCCATTGAAACATCGAATAAACCGCCTGATTTTTTAATCCAAACTTGATCATCATTAAATAATAATGACTTCCTTGCGTGATAGATCAATGATTTATGGTTAGGTTCAATATTTAGATGTTGTTCAGCGAAATGGATAGCGTTGTTGAGTAATTTTTCTGTTATTGATGGGTAAAAATCAACAATGTCAAAAACAAGGAATTTATGAAGGTGTTTATTACTGATGCAATTAAACCAGTTTGTGGTATCTTGTGTTTTTTTCCATTGATTGAGATGAAGTTTATTGACAAGTTCAGAGTTTATATTAGAAAGTATAACTTTACTAATTCTGCCGATTTCATTTTTGGCGGGGTTTAATAAACGGACTGTTGGATTGTTTGTAAAGTTTTCTTTATGGTCTTTTAATTTTATAAAGCAGTTTAAAAGTGTGTTAATATCAATTTTATTGAAAACGTCGTGATTCTGTAATATCTGTTTACCTTCTTTATTTATTTGATTTTTTATTTTTGTATTTGATTTTTTGTATGTTGAGGCGATAGCATTTGTAAGTAAATAGGTGTAATTTTCTTTAGATATATTATATAAATTGGATTTTTTATCGGAAAAAGTATAAGTAAGTTTACTATTGCGTATGGTAGATATGTCATCCTTTAATTTGTCTTAGAAATTATTGTAGACTTTACGAAATTTAATATTTTTTATTAGGTCTATCAGATTGTTTTCAAATGCAGTCACATGGGAAATTTGTTTGGGATAATTTGATGTTTTTATGCCGTAATTATTATAATAAATATTTTCTTTACTTTTTTGATCTTTATTGATAAAAAAGAAAGCTTTCCATCTCATTCTTTTTATTAATGCTTCGGTTTTATCAACTAACTGTATTTTGTAGTTTTTTATTGATGGAATCGGAATGTTCTTGATTGAATAATTCAAGTTAGTTTTTTTCATTGTGTAGACGACTTGATTAACGACGATTAAAAATTTGTTTTGACGTCAGAACTCATTCTGTTGCTTTGTTATTGTTTTTTCTGTAAATTTTTGTATTTTGTATTTTTTAACAGTTTTTTTCTTGATTTAAAAGAATAAAATATGGCTGATGATTGCCGAAGGGCATGAAACTTCAAGTCCCATCACAAAGTTGTATTTTTTCAAATAATCAAACTCTTTTGTTATTATTATTATTATTATTATTATTATTATTATTATTATTATTATATATATATATATATATATATATATATATATATATATATATATATATATATATATATATATATATATATATATATATATATATATATATAAGTATATATATATATACATACATACATATATATATATATATATATATATATATATATATATATATATATATATATATATTATGTATATAAATTGTATATAAATTAATTTATTGTTAAGCTTTTCAGTTCAGTAAAAATAGTCAAGCAAACTTGAGATAAAAAAACAAATCACCACTATTATTTTGTAAATATATGGTAAGCAATTTCGGAAACATATTTTAATATGTGAAATAAAGTTTACTACTACAAATGAATCATAATATTTATACTATATAAATACAATTCACCAGTATAACAACTGTCAATTGTATTTCGGTGTTATGCTACTGGTTCCAGGACCGTCCCAAAGGGAAGGGTGTCGGGGGTGTCCCGACCCCAAAGCTGTCATTTAAGCATTTGAGTTGGCACATTGAGCAAGTTTTGAACTATAGTTGGCAAATTGCAAATATTGAGGACTTTTTTTTTTTTTTTTTTTGGTGTTTCTAGTTGGCAAAAAAAAACATACACCCCCCTAGAAAAAACATACACCCCCCTTCCCCTTCCCCCCTTCGGGACGGCCCTGACTGGTTCATTTGATATATATATATATATATATATATATATATATATATATATATATATATATATATATATATATATATATATATATATATATATATATATATATATTAGGGTGACACAAAGTAGGGTCGAAAGATAAAATTTTTCAAAAATCAATAACCGCAGTTGCTTATCCTGTTCTACAACATTCAGTTAGTCTAAAAACAAAATATCACTTATTTTTATTCGTTGGAAGTGCTACATGTAATTTTTTAAATATTGAGGATTGGGTGAACTTTATGTCATTTTTTACGGGTTAAAATATGTTTATATCTAAACTTTTGTTGGATCTTACAAGAAAAAATACTGTTTGTAGTTTCATACAGTTAGCTATTATTTTACAATAATTTTTCAACTCTAGATTTTAGCTTTACCAGTTCCTTAAGCGACATATCTTTTATTATAAGCTTTCTGTGCTCTCTGACTACCAAAAGGATGCTCTGTCTCTGATCCTCATTGTGGAAACTGTGAACAAAGTTTTCAATTAAACTAATATTTCTTTCTGCGCAATCGTTGGTCACACTAAAATTGCAAACTAACTGAGCAAAATTTTTGTATGAATCTAGCGCTAAGAAATCACTTGAAGTATGCCACTCTCGAACAGATTCGGTGTGACCTGTAAGTATAAAAAATAGCCAACTCTCTTTCGTAATTAAATCCTCTAATTGACTATCATTGGTAACGTTAACAGCAGAAGGAGCTGTAACAGAAATCTCTGATAACTTAGGAATTGGAAATTTAAAAAGTTTCTGAATGATTAAACGCTTAGCATCTGCTTTCATATAAGGATCACCTAACGATAGTACGACAACTTTAGGAGACAAATACCATGTGTGGTTACTCATGCTATTTTGAAGTGAGTTTCCAACTTCATAATCCCATTCTGTTTTAATTGTTTCAGCAATTTTGAATGCATTAAAATCATTTAGAACAGCATGCTCTGATTTGCCTGAGTTAAGAAAGGCAGGTCCATAATAAATAACAACAATAAATGCTACCCTTGAAACCATATGTTTTTTTTCAGGAGTCAGATATTCAACGACTGTGGATGTCATATCGAGCATTAGAAAATATATTGCATAGGCCATAAACCTTGCATTGTGACAGGCGCCAGGCTGATAGATGTGAAAATTATTTAATTTCTCAGACTTAACATTCATGTAATACGCCAAGTATTCAACAAGATGCCTGTAATCATTCCTAAAATATTCCTAATTTTATTTAATAACTTAAAAAAAAAAAGTATATTTATGAAAAAACTAATTCATTTTATATTATTTTTACATACCTGGGGAAGATTTCATGTTCTAGTGCTTTAGTAACAAACTTTTTAGACTTCAAATAGAGTTTGCAGAGATCACTGCCAACAAAAAGGTCTTGCTCAGGAAATCGTTTGAACTTTTCTACAGCACCACTAGCTAAAACTTTAGGAAAAAATTCTGTTATCCATTTCTGCTGAAAATCTTTTAGTAACTTATTCGCAGGGGCTTTAGACATTTCCATTAAAATTGCCTTTAAAGCCCAAGTAATATTTATTTCGGCAATATGGTGTCTACACAATAACCAAAGAAATGGTTTACCAAGAAATCTTGCCATAATAGTTATTGCACCAGACTTCCATCCAGTGTTACTTACTGTGGTGTCAGAACAGAATCCTACAATATAGTCACAAATTTCAAAATATTTTAGGAGATTCATAATACTTATAGCTATATCGATTCCCTTACCACTATGAGTTGGCACAACACCGAGTAAAAGATCATCTTTGGTTTCAAACTCTGGGCTAGTAACAGATACTGATAGTCTATCTGCAGTAGTTGCCTGTCTAGTGTACTCCTCAATATGCTTTAAAATTTTACCATCAAAATGTAAAACTAACATCTTGTTAGCCATTAAATTAATATATTCATTACGTATCTGGCCTCCTTCCTCTTCTAAAAATCTGTAACGTCGTCTTCTGACAAATTCTCTGCGTAACTTTAGCTGTTTAACATCTCCTCCTAAATAGTTTACTACGCTTGCAAAAAGAAGGGTTTGATCTTGAATGCTGAGACCAGCCCTTATACTGGTGGAAGTTGTTGCTGCAATGAGACCTTCACTGGTTATCTATCCTTTTCTACTCTGAAATATGATGGTCTAAACTGATGCCTACTTTTTGAGCTTGCTTCGTGAAAATTAACATTTTTATTTGGGACAAAATCTTCCGACTTAGCAATTACACTTCCAGCATCTAAATTAATATAAAGATTCTTAGCTTAGCTATACATTTACTTTAAAAAATTACTAGTTTTGCCTAAAATGTCCGTGCATTATTAGAAAAAATTGTTTATATTCTCTCTTTTTATTTAGTCATAAGTTGAAACAAATATTTTTACGTGTTTAACAAATTATACTTAAATATTACCTAATTGTGATTCAGCTCTTGTTTTTTTAGGTTCTGTAGGTTCCTCACTTGCGAAATTGAAATTTATATCATTGTTAGGAAAAAAGTTGTGATTCCATTGCCTTTTTTCCCCAATTTTTTCTTCGTTGTCACGAATTATCGAATCGTTGCTCTTCTGTACTCGATCTTTATATTCTTTTTTCCTCTTGCATCTATCAATCTTTCTCTGAAACCTTGCTTCAAGCTCTGTGTCAATTTTAGAAGATATGATCATATTTCTGTTAGTTCTGTGCAAAAAGTTGTTAAAACACTTAGCGTAAGATAAATTTGAATAAAAAAATAAAATTTCTCAAAAAAATGATTTTTATATATAAGGGAAAAATTAGTAGATATATCATAATTGAAAAATAGGTTAAATCTTTGCAAAAAAATTTGAGCAAAAAATACCTTTGATAATCTAAGAAGGCCAAATCCTCTTGTAAAGCAGAAGTATCACGAGGCATTGATTCATCGCGTCTCAACTTCATCTCAAAGTCCTTCGCACTGATGTCAAACAATTGCTCTACCATATTGTAAAAGTCATTTTTGTGGCGTTCGGAAATTTGCTTTTTGATTTGAAAGGTTTTACTGTTGCACAAAGTTTTGTATTTGCTGTATAGAGATTTAAACTTTTCCACTATACTTCTCTCAGAAATTAAGTAATTACTGAAACCAGCAGACTTCCAAATATTTACAATTTGTCGGAGTAAACAGTATTTTTCGGTATTTGAATTACAAAACTCGTCTTTCCCTTTACATATAACATCCTCTCGTGCTCGAGAACATGAAAAGTTTATTTTAATCGGTTTGAATCGCTTATCTCTAGCTGAAGTTAGGAACAAGTAATATCGAAGAACACTTCTATTTGATGGAAGTTGGTTTGTAGGTAGATAGCTTAAAGGCGAGTTAAGCAGGTAAACAGACCTCCGAGCGTTATAGCTAATTTCTTTTGTTTTCCTCTCTTTGATTTTCAACATTTTGTACGGATATGTAAACAGTAAAAAAAAAATCGAAGTTTAAAGTAAGATAATTAATAAATCAAAAGTTGCCAAGTGATTAAACGCAATCCACTAAGTTTATGGTGCAAAGTTAAAGTTTTTAAAAAATATTTGCGAATGACCACAAATGTTTTAAAAACATCTTGAGTTTTTGACACATGTTTTGAAAACTTGCTGAATGATGTGAAAATAATAAAATAATGTGAAGAAAAAAAAAAGTCTTGGAACGTAAAATTTTTAAATTTACATGTAGCTCTTCCTGATCACTTAGGGATCTAAAATTTTTTTTGTAGATTTCCGAAGTTTGGTAGAACAGGAAAATGTACAGCGGCTTTTTTTTTTTTTTTTTTTTTTTAATTTTGTGTCACCCTAATATGTATATATATATATATATATATATATATATATATATATATATATATATATATATATATATATATATATATATATATATATATATATATATATATATATATATATACAAAATGAACCAGTAGCATAAAACCGAACTTATTTACCATATATTTACAAAATAATAATGGCGATTTGCTTTTTATCTCAAGTTTACTGAACTAAAAAGCTTAACAATAAATTAATTTAAAAAAATAATCAGATTAACATTTTAATTATTAGCAGTGTTAGAAAATTGAAAAAAAAAATAAAAACCATCAAACGTTTGACACGTTTAAGTACCATTTAAATGTAAGTAAAATCTAATTAAACAATATAAACTTCTATTTATTTCTATAAACATTTTAGTTTTAATAACATGAGACAACCTGAAACCATGCGTATAAAAAAGTTTACATTATTTTTAGTGCTTACTTTTACAGTAGCATTTACAGTTGGATTATACATTTGTGGTTTACATTCCGTGCTTGCAGAGATTTTAGTCGGAAATGTATCATTATTTTTTAAAAAATTAAATCGAACTAATAAAACAAACTTATTTAATAAAGATAAAAATTTGCATCGAACGCATGAAACGAGTGGGTGGCATAATGAAAATCAAATTCAAAACACACAATTATATCAGATTTATAAAAGCAACTATTATTACAAACGTAACCAACAGCAAAAAGTACACAAAAGTAATAAACATCTAAGCGAGAAAAAACCACAACAACTGCATGAAACAGATACAAAAAAAAATCTAAAACATTTAGATTATAAAGATGAAGAAACTGAGATGCAAAATAACGAAAACAAAACGACCGATCAAATACCGACCGATCAAAAACCGACCGAACAAATACTATCAAAAAATAATTCGCGAGCACAAAACATTACACACGAAAATCAAAACATTTTAACACAAATAAAAAATAAATGTCAAAACAACAAAATTTTTATTTGGACAATCGGTCGGTCAGGTTCCAATTTAATTGGAAAATTGTTAAGCAGCCATCCAGATGTGCTATATTATAATGAACCAGTACATTTTAACAAAGAGGTAGCATTTTCACCTATATCAATGATTAACTCAATTTTCAATCAATCATTTAAAACAAACACATGCAATCATATTATTATAAAAGAACTACATCAAAGGTTACCAGGAGGGTTAATAGGCTTTTCCGCTAATTTAAAAGATACTGTTAAATTTTTACATCTTATAAGAGATCCGAGAGCGGCTTTAAATTCTATGATTAATTTGAGTTGGTTTAATAGTTCTAACTTACCTGTTGTTGCTTCAAAACTTTGTCAAGCAACTTTAAAAGATTATAGATTTGGTCAAGCTTACATGAAACAAAGTAAATACCGTATGATAAAATACGAGGAATTATGCACAAACCTTACCCACAATGTTATGGCTTTACTGAACTTTACTCATCTCAAAGAAAATTCACAAGTGAATGAACTTATTACAAAAATTCAGCAAGCAAAAAATGAAAGTAGTAATCCTTACGATACACAAAAAAATCTTATATCACATATATTCAACTGGAGAAAAAGCATAAATATGAGTGTTGTCAACACGATTGAAAGCCATTGTTCTGAATTGTTAAACAACTTAGGCTATAAACTGGTAAATGGAAATCTTGATTTTCTTAGAAATTTGTCAATACCTTTGCATTAGAAATATAATTATAAAAAAATAAAAAGTTTAAAAAAAAAATTCTTATAATATCCAAATGTTTTATTTACTGAAATACATTTTTTTCTATATACATCATAAATTAATAATCAGTACTTTAACACAAAATATCTGCAAAATGCTGCTTTCTATTAGCGTAGTGACATTGTGCAACAGTGTGCATATTCATAACATTTTTGTTACTTTGGTTTAGATGATCTAAAGTTACAAAAAACGTACACAAGTTTAATAGACATCCTATAAGTGACGCATTTTCATGAAGAAAATACAAAATTTTTCAAATAAATTTTAATTTTGAATTGTTGATAAAACTAAAAAAAGTATTTTGTAAGAATGTATAAGATATAGTTAATTCAACGTTATGAAGTTTAAGTTGAGCTAATTTCTCATTAAAATAATCAACTATTAATGCATTACAACATTTTTTTAGGTGCATCTTTTGCACATGCAACGTTTTTTTGGTTACAAATTTGTTTATGATTTGAAAAGATGTTTAAAATTCGTAAAAAAAAAAAACATAAATGTCAAAATATTAAAAGTTTTTATAAATAACAATGAACCAAACATTTTCTCTTGTTAAAAAAAGTTTTAGTATTCTATTGAATGTTGACAACGTTCTTCTTTTTTATTTATTACAAATTTATATTAAAAAGCCATTTTTTAATTATATTTCTCTAAACTGCTAGAAGCATTTTTTTTTTCTTCTCCATTTTAAAATTAATCTACTGCTTTAGAAAGTTTCTTTTTGTTGTTTTACTAGTTCTTTCAATTTATATTAAAATATCTGCATTAACTTTTTTCAAACATTTATTAATCAAATCTGACAATATTTGGCTCATTTTGTTTAGGTATATATATATATATATATATATATATATATATATATATATATATATATATATATATATATATATATATATATATATATATATAAGTTGGTGCAGATATCAGAAAGATAAAGCAACAAACAAATCAACGTACAGCGTACAAACCGTACGTACAACGTACAAAGGTGCAGGACTTCTACTATCAATTATAAAACATTTAAAACCAATATATGCAGATTTAAGTGAGGAATCTTTGTTACGTAAATGTTTGCATGGGTAGGCACAAAATCAAAACGAAAGTCTAAATGCAATGATTTGGGATCGAATCCCAAAAACAAAGTATGTCAGCCTAACACAGTTAAAATTTGAAACATACGGTGCTGTAGCAAACTTTAATATTGAGAGAAAAAGTTATCTTTTAATTTGTAAACAGTTAGGCATGACACCTGGGAAATATACATCAAGTTTGTGCAATAATCAAAATCGAAAACGTATTTATTTAGCTAAATATAAAAATCTAGAGTCATTCAAGAAGCGGCGAAAGATGAGGGTTGTCAAAAGCATCAAAGGACAAATATGAAAACTTTGAAGGAAGTCAGTATGCCCCTGGGTCATTCTAAAACATTATTTTAAAGATAATTTAGTTATATTTCATATTTTTTGTGAAGTTTTAAATTTTTTTTTTTATTTTTGCGTTTTTCTCAAAATAAGGTTTTTAAATGCCCTGGCTGAGATAATTTTTTAACCGCTCATTGTTTAATGATGAAATTTTCAGTAATTTTATACATTCTGTGATTGAACCTCCACTTTTATGAAATACTTGACAGAACACGTTCTACGCCTATTTCAGTTGCCTAATTTTGACCAAAATTCATTAAACGATAATATATTTGCCCCCTGAAAAACTAACTGTCATATTTTTCATAAAATATTAGGGTTAGATCACAGTTCAAAGTATTAGTTAAAGGGAATTGCAATATGACAGTTTGAATATATGTAGTTCTTCGGATAAGTTAGGCGGGGCATTAACTGTTTTTTGGTTATTTTTTAAAAATTTTCTTGGTTACCATGGCAACAAAGAACATTTTTTTCAAAATTTCCATTCTAAAATATAAAATTTTGATATTATATTTTATTTAAAATCAATTTTACTGTTTGAAAATGAGTTTTAACATTTTTTGGGTACTTCCCCCTTAAGTAACTAGTTGAGCGCGATTGACAACTTGATTAAGACCAACCTTTTAATAAATTGAAAAAATTCTTTTAAAGTATTGTAAAATAATAAAACACGCCAAAACTAATATTTAAGGAAAAATAAATTTCTATGCTGAATTTTATGAAAGAAATCAACCTCTCGTGCCCAGAAGACAAACTTCTTGTGATCAGCAGACAAAATTCTACACTCAACATTTTAAAAAAATGTGTTATTTTGCACTACTAGATGCTTCCGAAGTTAATAACATAAGCTCTGTAACAATATAACCGATAAGTTGAAAATTACTGTTAATATAAAAACTTAAAGTAGTCATGCGTGTTTAACTATATTTTTTACAAATTTTAAAACATTACCTGTTAGAAAATAAAAGTACATTCAGGTCCTCATTTTCATTTGTATTGCTTTTAGAGATAGCCATAAATTATTTAGTATTTAGTATTATATTTAGTAAGTAAGAAATACTTTTAAAAATATGTCTTTCAATCTCTAAAAAATTTAAGATTTCAACTAAAATGAAAAATTTCAAAAGTTACATTATTTCTATACAGGAATGTCTGTGTGTTACGCTCAATAGACAGACTTTAATTTTTTATTTATTGAAAAACTATGTGTTATGGCTATAAATAATTAGGTTATAATTAAGGTTGTTTTTTTTTCTTTCAGTTTACAATATTCGTCGAGATATAATAAAATAAACTATCAAAAGCACTTTAAAAATATATATAGGGTTTGCAATCCCGGAACCCGGGATCCCGAAATCCCAGGATCCCGTCTAATTTTTTAACCCCTAATTCCCGGGATTATTTTAAATATCCCGGGATTTAGAATTTATACAACTACAATTAATACCTACGTTTAAATTGTGTCACATAAAACATAAAGTAGCAACAAAGCTAAAAAATTTAGCACCAATGAAATGCAATATTTTCATTATTGATTTATAAGTTTAAAGTAAGTTTAATCAATCTTATATATCGTGACAATTACTGAAGCGTTTATTGGGAAACTAATTTTAATTATTAAAACTAAATTATAATAATAATATATATAATACAAATAATAATAATAACAATAAAGGGAAAAAAATTAAAAATTAATTTGTACTGATTTATATTGTGTTTTTGTAATAACAGAGTGTATTTATTTAAATTTATTGAACTATAAAAATTTCCTTTAATAAGAAAAGTATTCCCTTAAAATTCCCCTTAAAAAAAAAGTAAATCAATTCTTATAATTTCTTTGATTGGTCAAATTAGGATACTATGTCAAATTTCATATCGTTCAACAGAAAAACCCCTATATAGAAACATTTTCTGCGCAACAAAAAAAGTGAAACAGCAATGTGTAAACTAAGCTATTGCAAATAAGTATTTAAAATTATGGGGAATCAACAAAAGCTTATCTTCTTCAGTTACATAAAATAAATTTAAAAGCAGAACTGGCGGCGCGTTCTCCGACATCGGAAGAAGAACCACAGAGTAAAAAAAGTAATATTAGTTTGTATTTGTCATCAAATATAAATAAAGAAGATAGCTTGTCTGAGGTGTTTGCAAGATTAACAGCTAAAAATGGGATTTCTTTTAACGTAATATGCACTTCTATCGATATACGTGGTGGACTGGCTATGAGGCGATTGTCAACATACCTAAATCTTCAAACACTAATAAAACACTAATATTGTGTTAGAATTTATTCAAACTAAATTAAAAGAGCTGAAAACTACAACAAGTTGTCAACTTTTTAATTCATTAGCCTTGAGAATCAAAAAGTGAAGGACTGAATTAGGTAGTCTACTGCACTATCTACATTACAGAGAAAAAAAATTAATGTCCGTTGGTGAAGTAGATTAAATGTAGCAAATTTAAACTACCCAACAATTTCCTTGGACAACGTTGAAGATTTAGTAAGTCAAGAAGATGATGAAATACCGAAAAACGCAGATAATAAAATGCCAAAAACTATTAGTGAGCAGCTAAATGAAGCCCTAGAAAAAGTATTTTCAAGCAACACCCAAAAACTCTTTGTCAACGTTTGGCTTCTAAATTATCGAAAGTGGTTGTACTCGGGGTGATATTTTTCAGAAAGTTTATGATTTTTTAATGACGATTAAATCAACGAGCGTAGAATCAGAAAGAGCATTTTCCTCCGCAGGACTATTTTGTAATATATATATATATATATAATATATATATATAGGGTTTGCAATTTTTTTTTTTTTTTTACTAGGTTAGGGGAAATATGGGTATTGTTGTAGGATAATAATAAAATATTATCGTTCAAATAAAATAAAAATAAAAAATTATTTTGACCATAAATTACAAAGAGGGTGGTATTAAAGGTAGTAATGATATAATGGTAGTTGTTGGGGGTATGAAGTTGAAGGATTTTTTTAACGTTTGTAAATGAACCAGGTGAATCTTAGTGTGGGGTGGTTGCATCGAATTACATGTGGTATTAAAGGTGGTAATGATTTAGTAGGTATGGGGTAAATATATGATAAAACATGGTTTAGTTAAACAAGGTTATATAAAAGATGAGTGGATCAACTAGTAGGTGGCGGTAATGATGTAGTGGTGGTAGGTGGTGGTATCGGAAAGAAGGATTTTATGTTATTTTTAAATGAACAAGGTGATTTTTAAATCCGAGTTGTTGAAGAAAGTGGGTTTAAATTATCTTAAATAAAATCTTAAACTAACAATAACAACCCTTTATATACAAAAAAAAAAAGATTATAGATCTGTATGTTTTTAGTCAGGCGGCGACATTGAAGGAATTATTTTCGGCAACTTTAAAGGATTAAACTCGGTGACTTGAAAGGACTAAATATAATGATTTTAAAAGATGATGATGGTGATCATGACAACACTTTTTTAGATTAAAAATAAAATCAAGAAATAGATAATCTCAAATATTGATAAAACTAACAAGATAAAAAATCAGTGTTTGTATTATGTATTTTTAATCTATTTTTAAATATCTAAATAACTTATTTATG